AGGAGTAGTAGTAGTAGTAGTAGTAGTAGTAGTACTAGTACTAGTACTAGTAGTAGTAGTAGTAGTAGAAATAGAAGTAGTAGTAGTACTACTAGTAGTAGTAGTAGTAGTAGTAGTAGTAGTAGCACCGGCAGGAGTAGTAGTAGTAGTAGTAGTAGCAGCAGTAGGAGTAGTAGCAGTCGTAGCAGTAAGAGTAGTAGTAGTAGTAGTAGTAGTAGTAGTAGTAGTAGTGGTAGCAGAAATAATAGTAGCAGTAGTAGTAGTAGTAGTAGTAGTAGTACTAGCAGTAGTGCTATTGTAACTATGCCATTATTGTCGTCATTGCCATGGTACTACTAAGTTATTGTGGTTATCGGCTTTGTTCGATGGTTGTTTTTACTTTTTATGGGTATTGGTCATATAACTATGCCTGTTCTTGCTGTTAGTACTGGTGTATGTTTTTGTTTAGTTGTGCTGCTGTTGGTGTTGTCGTTGCCTGTTTGTCGTCAATCATTTTGTCATTATGATTATGAGTAATCCTTATTACCATGTTGATTATCATCCTGATTACCACTATCACTATTACAGTGGTTATTCTTCGTACAATCATTCCTGTGTGAAATGCTATTGTTGTTGCTGTTGTTGTTGCTGTCTGCTTTTATTACTGTCATTCTGAGCAGTGTTGCCACCATTGTAAATGATATTACTGTCAACAGTGGTTCTGAATATGATCAAGATCATATTGTCATCATCATTGGTACTATTAGCGGCAAATTGGTGGTCTCATGATCGCTGTTCTTATTCTTAATTTCTCCAATTTTCTGTGCCCAGAAACGTCAACGTTGGAGGGACCCGATCCGGCAGGATGATGTGACCCGTCGGGGACGCCTCCAACCCCCCTCCTGAAGCGGCCTCTGCAGGGTCATGCCAACGTGAAAACAGGTCCAGTTGGCACGGCGATTTGCTGAAAGACTGTCAAGAACGGAACCTTCAACTGCGACGCTAGAAGTGTTGGACCTGGAGGAGCTAAGAAGCATTTGCGCGGTTTTCCGTGCGCGAGCACTCCTGCGGCTGTGTGCTCCTGGAGGTCCACTGAAGCTTTTGGACGTCCTCCAAACCCGGGCGCGCTTGCGCGTGCGGAGTTCTCAAACCCTTAAGTCGCCCACGCGACTGTTAGTTGCAAGCCCTTGCGTAGCCACGTGGTTATGCCGCCGTCTCTGTGGCTCTTGGAGGGTTCTGATCTCTCCTGTCATGGTCGTGGTCGTTTCTGGCAGCAGAAGGAGATGAACCCACCGCGCTGTGCGGCCTGACTTCGGAAGATGAGCTCGCCCGTGCAGAAGCAGGGGTCCACGCAGGGGCAGCCGAAACGAATGGCCACATGCACGATGACGGTGTACTCCTGCGTAGTGGGTGCGTCTGCCGCGTCTCACATGGAAGGCCAGTCCTACAGCCCTGTACAAGACAAGTCGTGAAGCGAACCCCGCATCTCCGCAGCTGGCACGAGGTCGCAGGGCCCAATCGCCTGTCCGACACCAGAACGGCTCAAAGATAAACATGCAGACTACTGGGACTACCAAAGCCGTCGCAATGCCGGACGTTAGTTCGAATACATGGAGCTTGGCAAGCGTGCCTTGGACTGAACGGCCTCGTCTTGTTGGATGTTCGCCTCCAGGCACATGGCACCTCGCTGCAACGGGACACTTGGCTCCTCGAACAAGTGCCTGAAAGCTCTTTAAGCCCCCGTCGAAGTCATGACCTGAAGCCTTGGGCTTCTTAGTGTAATTATGCTATCATCTGCTCTGACCAGATCAAGCTGCTGGCAGTGAGAGGACCGAAATTTAGCTGCCGGTAGTTGAACGAGCTCTCGGCCCGCGATTCCAGGCCTCCGGAGCATTCGGAGCGCATGACCCTGAAGCAGGAGGATGTGTAGCTCTGAAACGGCCTTTGGGAACGACAGCCACGTCTACGCGAGCTCCAGTGCCAGCAATCCGTGTACTCACCTCAGACGGCATGAGAGCTTTCAAGTGCTGAGCCTCAGCACTGCACCCAGAAACGCCAAATCACGTCGAGGTATAGCTCACCGTTCTGGTAGATCGGCGATATAATTGGGTCCTGGCTAGCCAGCTGGTCACTCATGCCGTGTCTTCGCGATCTATAAGATTGACTGCCATGCTCCAAGAAGGAGCGTTTGCGCTGTGGCTCACGAAGCGGCTTCCGGGCTCAGGACGTGGAGGTTACTACTCGGGTCACTGGAAGCATGTGACGGTAGCTGCGCTCCTCCAACAACACCATGGAAGAGTCCAAGATGCCGATTTGCCGGGACTGCTCAGCCTCGAGGCAAGATTCGGGTACAGTAGCATCTATCCACATCCACTTGCAGAGCACACTGCTTTTCATTGATACACTCAAGGCACAAATCCCACACGACTGCTTGACACAGTCATGCATTTTCACTAGGCTCAACCCTTCCAGGTGAGGCTCTTCTCCGTAGGCATTCTTGCAGAAGACCAGGAAGGTATTGACATCCTCGGGTTGTATAGTGCTGTGGACTGACGCAACTTCGTCCAGCTTCACACACATAGACGTGTACACACACAACAGCAAAATTAAAATGCGCATGCATGCCTGTATTGATGCAGGTATTTACACATACAGAGACACCGAGCGAAGTGGGAGAGAGAGAGAGAGGGAGACGGCGCCACCACCCACAGCTGTTCCCTTCTTTCTGCAAGCCGGTCTTCGAGAATTGCGCCGCTCGGCCGCACAAGCACAAGCTGTGGGTGGATAGCGCTTGATGCACTTGATTCTTCAAAACCCTGATGTGCTGTCGCGATGCCGGTAGAAGCTGCGTGTTCACCTGAACGGCATACTGATACGCACCAGTCACCTTGGCACACCAAAGTCTCAAAGCAGCCAGACAAAAGTCGCAGGAGTTGCTTTCGCTGCACTCACAAGGCCCAGGCTGGAATAATGGCAAATGGCTCGGTCCCCTCGGGCCATCTGCGGCTGAAAAATCCTGGTCCCAGCTGCATGACATAGAAGCATTGCGAGCACTGAGCGATTGCTTCGCAGGCACGTCAGAATCTGGCTACTGCTGTCATTACCACCCTTGCTCAATGTCTTGAGTTCAGCCAAAATCGACCGAGAGGTGTTTATCTCCGGGGTCATGCTAGAGTCTTTCAGATTCATTTTGCGATTTCCGCCACTGCCCCTGTTTCCCTCGGGTCCGTAGTACACGTGGTAGTGCGTGAAGTTCACTTCGGATGCTGCCGAAGTGATCGTCAATGTGCCGAAAACCTTCACATGACAGGTCCAGTTGAAAAAAGTGGAAGCCGTTTGAACCGCATGTCCAACTATCTGTGCTCATCTCAACGGCATGCCTGCTGCATGGCCGCTGACCACGTTTAAGACACGGTTATGCTTTTTTCTCTTCACGCCTGCCACCCTAGCCAATCCAAGAAACCCGGCCCACCAAGCTCTCCGTGTCTACGAACTCCAGGGCTCTGGGACGTAGCAGCGGCACCTGAGATTGATCGCAAGACCAGCCCTGCGTGCACTTGACAAAAGCGGATACACCGTGATTCCCATGATCAGCCACTCCCTTCGACTTGGAACCATGAAACCCCCGAAAGAAAACTTGCTGAGAACCTGCGAGACGACGTCCGGAAAGCGGCCCACGAAGGGAAGGTTGACTCGCACACCTGAAACACAACTCTCTGACATTCTCTGACCTCATCTTCAATCGCAACTACCGCAACAGCAACAACAACTACCACTACTTCTGCTGCTCTGACGCTACTGCCACCGCCACCGACACCGCCACTGCTACTCCTGCTGCTGCTGCCGCCGCGGTTGCTGCTGCTGCTGCTGGTGCTACTGCTACTCCTACTACTCAGAGCAATCGTCAAACCATGGAAGTAGACACCAAAAAGCACACAACTATCACCTTCACCGCTTCCGGCAAAACTAGTTGCGTGTAAACTCAAGCTTAAGCATCTGAAAAGCGACAACCCGCGGTCAAACCCCTCATTTTTCGCCGTCTCAAGTCCTGAAGTTCCGTTGATGACTACACGTCTGCCTGCCATCAAACGCACAGGAGCAGTGCATCATGGGTGTAGCTTGATGAACCCTTCCTCTTGAGGTTGATGTACTTTGCTGGTCGCACGTGCACGCACGTATACCCATGAAAGCCTCAGATTCTTGCCCACCTCGCCCGCACCCACTCTCCCCTCCCTGTTCCCAGCTCCCATCAATGCGCACCGGCTAAGGTCCTTGGCCACCCTGCTCTTTTTGGTAGGAAGTTGGGTGTCTCCTGGGCAGTCCTGCAAAATAACCGAAGCAAGCAGAAAGCTATCTAATGAAGAGCATCTTCGTGCACTGTCTTAATTGAAGTGTCTTTGGATTTGGTGTTGGAAGTGGTAGGAGTCATCATTGTCATTTGAAGAAGGACAAGAATAAACAAAGCGGAACAAGTCACATAAGGCTTTGCCGTGCCGGTTAGATTACCGTCTGCAAGCCCGAATCTTGCTGCCCCTCAGACCTCCGCCGTAGGGTGGTTCTGCCGCATCAAGGTAGACCACTAGCCTTGCCAGAAAGAGCGGGCACAAGTGCACAAAGGAACGTGTTGTACAAAACTAGTGTCCAGTGTCCACATCATGCAAGAATACGGTGTATACAACTCTCTCTCTCTCTCTCTCTCTCTCTATATATATATATATATATATATGCATACATTTGAGCCACGAATGGCATGATAGCCAAACCAAAATCAGCTCAGAGCAGTTGGTGTTGCATGTTCTTCGTCTTGCTTCACGAGTTTGAGAGGAAGGTGACTTCGATTCGCTGCTGAAACTGGAACTTCCTGAAGCTCTAAGTTCGTCGAGGAGCATGTAGTCAATGCCAGGCTCGAAGGGGCACTGCACCAGGAATGGATCCACACGGAAGTCCTGCAAACATTATCTAAACCCGCTCACGAGACGAGCTGATAAGAGATCCCAATCGCGCTAAGTGCTGACTCCAACGGCAGTTCATTGAGTGCTCGCAACTTTTTCGGCGATATCCGTCCATCGAAGGGACCCCTTTGGTGCCTCGAAGGTGCTTTTGCCTTGAGCTCGCTGTGGGTTTTCGCAGATGACAAAGGCAGAGTACCTAAGGCCGACCCCACATTCGAAGCTGCAAGGCGATGTCGCAGTAACTCGGCAATCATAGTTGCAAACACGTGCAGCATGCAATTAGCGGTGCCGCCGAACCACGCTCCCCCATGGATGTCTTCGATCCTTCGTTGCGGATAGGGAAGGGAACCGCAACAAACGATCCTGTGAAACAGGCAGCGCGCCTCAGCCTCTACACTCTACAAATTATTCTAGGTCGACTGGGTAAACGAAAACAGTGCCGCCACGATTCGTGAGAGCAGCAGCCACGGATCTGTTGACTACGAAAGCCCAGAATTGTCCCTCGGGATACATCGCTTCTGCATCCACCTCGGTGCAGCAACATGTGGATGCCCTGCAGCAGCTTTGATGTCACCGTGACACACGAAGTTGCTCTGCAGCCACTCTCAGGGTGCCACCCGGACAGCGGCGGTGCTGGAATCACCAATAACCGGTGGCACAGTGAAGCCTTGACTTGGGCAGGCTCCATCAGACACTTGGTCCCCTCTCTCGGGAGCTCAAGGCCGTTCTGAGACCCCAGCTCAGGAATGTTGTATGCTGTGCTACCATCGCTGTCTCATGCATGGTTAGAGGATCTCAGATCTGCAGGCCCTTTCCTGCTGCAGGCAAGGTGACCGTTGCTCTTGTCGTAGAAGCGGAGAGGCGCCTTGCCCCCCTCACCTGCCAGCTGAGCCGGAACTGTATACGTAACTATGTCCCTATACCCCCGGCCTTGCACATTTGCAGCAGCAGCGAGGATGTGAGTGACCTGCGCCACCCCGACCGAAAGCATCACGGTACTCGACCGCATAACGAACAAGGCTCACGAGGAAGAGAGCCTCCGGCTCGATCTTCACAGCCATGTCTGGCAACGGGTCGTTGCTCACCACTCCGCCGATGCAGAGAATCTCCACCTACGCATGTGCCCGCGGGTGCGAAGATGCACGGCGCTTAGCTTCATTGAGGCCCTTGGAAGGATGAAATGCCATATTATGCCAAGCACAAAGGGGTTTGCAAACCTGCAGGCATGCAGCATCCAGTATCAAGTCTCCACATTCATGCATCTCTTCATGCACATCTGTGTGGCCATGCTGCCTCTGCGTACAGCATCCAACGGTTCTGAAAGCGGAACCTCAAATGGTTGTGAGATCCACAAAGATTGCGTTGTCAGCATCTGGCCGCACAGCGGCTCCCTCTCTAGTCTGCAAGCAGAACTGTCTGGCAAAACCAAGAGCTTCAACGCATCTTCGACATGCATCCCCTTACCGTAGTGGCCGCCAAAGCAGCTCCAAGATGTCAACCTCCGAAGATAGCTTCCTGCAAGTGCAGACAGCGGCAGCATGGCCGCCTTGTACTAACGGCAATAGATACGTGTGGAAGAAATTTCATAACCACTGCTTCGAAGCTTTTAGTTGAGTGTGGCCATCGGCGAGCAACTCCTCGCCCATGTTACTTTGCCAGCAGCCACATTGCAACCGAGCGCAAGGTAGTCGAAGGAACATATGGCTTCTGGCTCATGCTTCTGCTAAACCGAAGGAGTAACAGCAACGAAGCTCGAAGAAGCTGTTCGATGGGCGTATCTCTCGAATTCTGTGTGCTCACCACGGGCCAGAGTGGTATTTAAACAGCGCAGCAGCATGCACGAAGTACTTCCTTCGGAGTGGGGCACGAAGGCAATAGCTGCCGCGAGCACCCTTGGACCATCCCGTCGCTTTGGAATCCTCTGCCCTCTCGAAGGTGCGACTCTTGGCAGCCCCGTGTATCCTACAGGAATGAGTTGTGGAGGAGACCCTCTGCTTCGGAATGCGAGGCAAGACCCAGCCACGCCGAGACCTGGCTGAGACTGAGGGCAGCCAAGTTGCGCCGAAACAAGAGCCGTGCCATCCTTGAGGAAAGAGCCTCGGAAAATCAAAGCCGATCCACAGCAGGGTTTCAAGACGACGAGCCTTGAGGTTTGGGCCTTGAACCTAAATTGAAACTTGAGCCTGAGAAGGGAGTCCAACATGGACGGGTGAAACGACGCAGCATGTCTGCTTGGCACTTGCAGACTGCACGATGGACTGACGACACACTTCGGGCACTTCATGATTCAGGAACCGCTTTCTGCTGGTCAAGCATCCCCGAAGCGCGGCTTGAGACACATCCAGCTTGTCAGCACAGTAATACCTTTGTGCCGCAAGCACAAGGCTCCACTGGTTTCGTGCGTACAAAATTCCACGTTTACTGGACAGGTGGACGTCCACGAGAAGATACCCTGCAAGAACCTGTGCACTACCCAATTTGTTGCCCTCATCACATGCCAAGACGTGCAAGCATCAGGTAGATCCTGCCGTCTAGACGAGAGACATGTTGTCTGGATCTCCGTCGACTTGAGGCCAGCAACGTTCCACCACGTTGTAGTCATCAATCCTTGGATCCGCGGGGGGCATCGCGGCCTGACCCTGCAACTGCTTCCAGACGTTTTGTGGAGTCCGCGCGAATCCTGTACCCAGAGCTTCTGTCTTTCTTCTGGGGCACCAAACCGATAGCCTGATCAAAGACCCCAAAGCTTCAGGACAGAGTGCGCGATGTACTCCACGACTTCTTCTGGGCCACTAAAGTCTGTCATGGCCACGCCGAAAGTTAGGAAGCACCTGTCGGAACACGGGACAGGCAACTGCTCCCCGAGACACCGTGATTCAGAACTTGGGGCCTTGTAGCATTCGAGCCTTCTGGAGCTCCAGGCTTCAGCGGACAGCGGAAGGGGTGACCCTGCCTTGCATCCGCGTTCGTGGGGAGCCCCGACAGCTCCACCGAAGCTTGACAGCCGGGTTGGCTGCATTGCATGATCCTCGATGCATCAGTTGAAATCTAGGGACGGTCGCGTAGAACGTCCATGATCAACGATGGACAAAGTCTGCTCCTATGCGGGGAGACTGTGATAAGGCTTGCAACGATGTGAAAATACGTGAACTACCATGGTTGATATCCAGCTCGATTTGAAGTGTACTGCAGTTGATTCGTGATGTTGCGGAGGGCTGAAAGGAATTATGCTATTCAGACTGGCCATGGAGACCCACAAATGCTGAGGCGCGCACCCACTTGCTTTGATCTCTGCCCCGGGACGGACAACCTGGACATTCTGCAGGTTGATCTGGTAGTCCCGGTGATAGCGCGTCCTTCACTGGTCTTAACTCGGCTTGCAGACAGAGAGCTTTATGCGAAGGCGCTTTGCGGCTCCAGTTTGCGACAGTGAGAAAGACCGGGATTGGCTCTTTACCTGCTCTGCTGGGCCTGGTTCCCAGGTGGAGTGCCATGAGCCTCAGAAAGCTCAGAAGCAGCCAAATTTCAATGAGACAAGGGCAGAACCCAAAAACCGTCGCAGTCCAAGTCCAAGTTGCTCGTCATCGTTCAAGGCTCGATCCCACATCCATGCCTTTCCAGGCTGGGCAGGCGGGGCCACATCAGGTCAGAATGAAGCATAAATCAAAACTGCGATCCGCGTTTGAACCTTGAACACCTGACATGCATCGGTCTGAAGTAAACCTCCGGATTCGAAACCTATCGATATTAACTATTTACAGCATTTGCGGCCGGACCTGCGATATATACGTATCGGGCATGCTTCCGTCCACCGCCATGCCAGCCTTGGATGAACTTGTGCCTACAGGTTGAGTGGCTGAGCGGTCACTAAACCCTACGAGTCCCTTTCGCAATCCAGCTGTTTTTGTGTTGTGACCCAGAAACCGTGTTATGCTTTGCTATCGCAGCTGACTCCCTGCCCCTAATGCACTCCAACTTGCCCGATTCCCCGCCCCGGCTGTACTCCAACTTGCCCAGAAGTGTGCATGCAGTTCACAGCCAGCAAACAGCACAAGCAAGAGGGAATCGATCGAAGCAGAGCGATGCTGTGCCCAACCTGACCAGCAAACAACTGGCGTAATCAGAGCGAGGCGCCGTGCCACCCACACCTTGAAGGACGGAGCCTGCACAAGTCCTGCGACATGAGCATGCAGAAACGCGCGTCTTCCAGGCAGGCCTTGTGCAAGCAAGTTCTATTCAAGTCCATGTGATGCTCTGGGATTCTTGGTTCCTAGCATTCAAGATTAAAGAAGAAACTTCGCAGCTCTGGTGAAATCGACAGATCCCGGGTCCTCGGCGCTTCGCCCACCACATGGATGCTGCCAGACCTCGGGAGCCTCCGCCCAGGAAGAGCCACCTGACGAAGGCACCGCCGTGATCCGCCGTGCTGTGCTTAGCCTGTGCTTTCTGATTCCAGGAGGACCATCTATATATATATATATATATACATAGTATATATATATATATACATTATTATATTATATTATATAAATGTGTGTGTGTGTTGGGACGTTCTCAGACAGAAACTTAGGCTGGGAGCTGGCGCTTACTATGCCCACGGCACCTCTGGCCGAAATCCGCAACGAGCACAGCAAGTGGGGACTTAACCACATTATCCATGGCCATGGCACTCGCGCACATGCGATGGTGGCAATCCCATTCAGGAGAAGGCCATCTTTCGGATACATGTCCTTGGCGCTTGGCAGCAGAGACTTGATTGCAAGGCGTCAGAAATGACCGAAAGCAGCGGTTTTTCCTGAAACACCCGCAAGTCCAACTCGCCAGTGCTCTTTCAAGAGGGCCCTGTGTTGCTGCCCGAGCTGCCACGAAGTCGGAGATTTTAATGTCTATGCGCACAGCGCGGTCAGACTGGTGGCTCAAGATCCAGGCGTCCAGGTTCCTTAAACAATCTTGGGCCTCTTGGGCACCCAGCCGATTCCGTCCACCACTACACCATAGCACTAGGTAAGCCAGGTAAGCAACCAGGACTTTGGATGGAGAGGATGCTTGAATGACTGCTGGTACATACTTTCGAAGTGCCGGCAGCTGTCAAGGTTGCTAGCCTTTTCTGCTAAAAATCGCTGGACCGCCTTCAATAGCCCAATTGGTGTCGTCCTTGCTCCCCGCCCAAGTATCCCGCATGACATTCCCACGTGTTGCTCTTTTGAGTCATGAGTATTAACGCCGTGATGTGCATCAAGCCAGGCGTCTCCTTGTGAACGCACTTGTACAGTCGATCAAGCTGGTTGGATGCAACAGGGTGGCAATACTCTCTGACTGTACCTTGGCTGGAGGGGCAGCGATCGGCTGCTTCACGACAGTGAAGTATTTCTTGCTTGCCAAAGACTACACCAAGCTCGGAATCATCTTCAAAACCTAGGTTTAGAGTCCTGGAGAAGTAATGCCAATTGGACAAGGCACGGCTGACCTCCGGCGCACCGCCACGAACTGTAATGTACTCCTGGGGCCAGAAGCCGTGCTTCCCGAAACCCTGAAGAAATACTAGCCACACTAGCCATACTCAATGCTTCTTCTGGAACCGCATCTGTAAGCTCCGTTGCGGTTGGGATGAGAAGAGGCCAAGCATCCACCACCTCTGGGTTCACGTGGTATTGATCGTTCGTGTAGTCCTCAGGCGGGAACGCTAAAAAGTGTCCTCCGAAGCTGTAGAGAAGACACGACGAAAAGGCGCTAGAATCGCCGTTGGGCTGCCTATGCCTCTCTTCGCTGCCAGGCATCAGTTACGTACACGTCCACTTCCAGGGCGCATGTTCGCGCTGGATCACGCGGGATGTCCCGAAAGATCCTGGAAACATCCGACGACCATGTCAGAGTCATAAAAGAGACAGACAGAAAGCCAACAAAAGCGCTCCAAGCCAAGGGACGAGCTGGTCGCACAGCCTGGCGTTGCGCAGCCAAAGTTTTGCGTGTAGCCTCAGACGAAGTTTGCCAAGCAAACTTGGCTGATGGCTGACGCTGCATCAGTGCACACAGAGATTAGGAAGCTATTGCCGAGCGAGGCAATGCAAAAAGTCAGCGCCAGGAGAACCAAATGCAGAAGAGGCACGGATCACTTCTGGACCCAGGGATTCAGAGGAGTAGAAGGTAGTCGTGCCACGACCTGTCATCACTTTCTGACTTGCACAGTGACATCGGAGCTCTGTGGGCGGCACCGCAACAGCTCGCTCCCTTCCGAATCCGGCTGGCGCCTTCCATGTCGCCTCGTCCCACAGCGACCAGCAGCAGCCACTCTGATCCGTGTCGAGGCACGCTCATGTCCGCACCGCTATCCCAGGAGGCCTCCATAGAAAGCATGTCACGCACGATCACGCACGTGGAAACAGGCGCAAGTCCAGCCAGGCCTGGCTCTCACAGGCTCGCATCCCAATCGCCCACTTGTTCTTACGACTCAATGGTGTGCCCAGCTCATCCTCAACTTCTTCTGTCATATTGATGGCCTTAGATGCTTCTCTCCCGAAGAAAAGGCGTGCGCCTCTAAGAGCGCAGGATGAGCGAAGCAACTCAAGCGCTGCTCGAGGGGGAGATCCTATCCTGCAGCTTGGGAGCACAGCTGCAATCACACTCTTCGTACTCCATCTCGGTCTCGTTGACACCGCGAGTCGCCGTTGTGGTTGTTGTGGTCATCCTGGGCAACTACTGTGCACTCGAGGAACTCGGCACTGTCCACTCACCACTACTGCAATGCGGCTGGTAGAGACGCAGGGACTGGACACTCGGCCAGAATACCAGGGGCAATGCACAGTAGTCTCGCGTCGCTACCCCCCGCCACGCCCGCCCCAAATGCAGGCCAAGCTCAGTGGGGAAGTCGGAGCCATGCAACACCGAACCAGGTCGGTGCCATTGCCTGTCACAGACACGACAGGGGTCGCGAAGTACCGAGACCGGAGCTTGGAGGCTTTTGGAAGCTGGCTGAAGAGAAAAACGTTAGAGTCCTGTTTGCAAGCCGCGGCGCAGAGGAAGTCTCCAGTGCAAAAGGGCGGTCGTCCATCCAGCTCGAGGCGCTGCGACAACTCAGCAGTGAGAGCTTGCAGCTTCAAGAGAAAATACTTTCGCTTAGGAGCAACAGGTGCCCGACTGTGGCATACTGTGGCCCCATGGCATCCCCAATCCATGTGGCAGCTATAAAGCGGGAAAACAATATGAGCACTTAGACGCGTGCCAAGGCACCTGAAGACAAGGCTCGGAATCTCCTGGCAAGCAGGACTCGAGGGCCCCGAGGCCCCTGGCAACTGCTTTGCTGATCCCTGATTTCCCGCATTTCGTTACGTCGTCGTCTTCCGGCAGAGGCCCGGGAGGCTTAGGCCGAGGGCCTCGAATCCCAAAGCCCCTCGAGATCCGCAGATCGTCATTGAAACCTATGTATTGTTCCGTCGCGGTATACCTAAGTGCCAGGCCTGAGATGCCCATGGCATCAAAGATTCGCACCTCCAGGGGTTTTCGCTGTGGGGCAAAGGTGGGAGAAAAAGCACAAACAGCATTGACAGCGACTTTCAAGACATACCTTGCAATACCTTACATACCTCGATCGTGAACATGCTTTGTGATGCAGGCGCACGTGCACCAGGAAGAAGAACATTGACCTAAAGCCTTCTTACTGGAAATGGCACAATCGCCACCAGGACGGTTGAGGAGCCTGATCACTGTGCGGCTCAGAAGAACGACACCCTGGCCAAGCCCTGATGCGCAGCCTGCCCGGCATCTGAAGCGTTGGCTGCCTATACAGGGACACAAAACTGCCATCAAACTTTATGTATCATTCTAGCACCCAGATGTGGAGGGTGATGGCCATGTCCCTCCTAGCCTCGAAGTATGGCACTTTGATCCACGCGGCCATGGTGTACTCAGAGCTCACGAGCCTGCCGGGGACGCTCGCGACTGCGGGGAAGTCACGGCACGGCGCTCTGGCCGCAAAACTGTATCTCATAACTCCTCACCAAGGTGGGGCTCTGGTGACAGACTTCAACCCGCTTGACCCGAGGCGCTTCTTCGGGTTGAGCTCGAGGTGCCCTTCACCATTGAAAAGCCAAGCAGGTGCTCCCATTGAGCTCCACTCCACACTGCCTGGCCCAGCAGTCCAAGCGACAGATGTTACTCAGCAATGCGGTAGCAAGATTTGCACGCAATCAGAGACAGCCTGCAGTTCTGTCTGAGGCAGAAGAGACGGCCTTGTTCTGTGGACCCGCTTGTTAAATTCTGCGCAGCATCGAAGCTCAGGACAGCGGAGCTCGTGGGCACTTCCTGCGACGGCTGTCAGCTGTGACAGCCACCAGGACTGGCGGACAGCACGCAAAAAACGCGCGCTTGAAGGGCCGTGCTGCTCAGCACTCATGTTTGCAGAATGTGTCAGCACCGTCTCTCGACGCGATGCCTGTACCAAAAAAACTCGAAAACAAGGTCAGGCGGCACATATTTTCCAGAGAGCCAAGGGACCGGGTACAGCTCCCACTCACAGTACCCAGAGCTGCGCACCTCCTGCAGTTCGCATGGCACATGGCCAACTAGGATTCTGTCAACAGATCTTCAGGAAGCAGAAGCTCCTTGCCGTCGATGGTGAAGTCCATCCACATGGCATCACAAAACTTGCCAATGTGAGGCCTCAGCCGTTGCATGCCATCGCGGCCATAGTGGTAGCTTACGATGGCAGAGCCAATGGCAAAGTCAGGCTTGCGGGGATGCCGTGTGTTGCGCTTGATTTTTCTGGCTTCTGTGACTGAACTTTTCCTGGCCCTTCTGGTCACCACGCTAGCTTCGAAAAGGTGCGTATACGGAGAAAGAATGGGAAAGACAAGTGGCTTGTGGACGCTGGGGTCTGTCACAGGCACTTCTTCCCCGTCTTCGCCCACTTTCGTTGTCTCAGTTGGCACCTGCGAGGTCGGAGCTTGGGGGTTGGAAGGCTTGGAGTGGAGGGACGGGCTTGACATTGCAAGTTCCCTGCCTGGCAAAGGCAGTCTGCAGAGGCGCTGCTCTTGAGGCGGGACTCCACGGTGGAGTTGAAGATGCGATCCTGGAGGAACCAATGAAACTAGCGAAGTTACCTTTAGGAATCCTACGCGCACAACCGGAAGGGCCGCAAGGCAAGGGCTCCTGAATTGACCAGAGACAGTCCGGATCCTGGCTGTCGCCGCATGGAGAGTCAAAACTTGAAAAGGCTGGTACAAGAGATCAGGGTCGCTTCTGGGCTGCATTCGGTACCGAGTTCTTCGCAACTTGCTGATTTCTGAGGAGTCGTGCCTTCTTTTCCTTGATGAAAGCCAACCAGGGCTGCCACATGGGATCATCTGCGACGGCAGCACAGCTGGGAAGTTTTGGGGCCTATGAGATGTGCAGCTTTGATGCTCGCTGCCCGGAACGGGGGACTTGAGCACATGCTCTGCCACTCTGCAGCCATGCCACTTAAGATATCCAGACTGGTCCTGGTCGGATTGGCTGGGCTCAGCGCCTGCAGTAGACCAAGCTTTGAGAAAAAACATCCGCCTCTCTCTCTCGCGCAGATAGCAGATGCGCAGAGATGCAGAGTAGATAACATGTACCAGTGTACCACGATGGACTACAAACCGCATTTGAACTGTGGCTTGGCCTGCGAATCGGCGAACGCATTCCAAGCTTCCTGTCAGTCTCAACGGTGTCACGAGTTCGCACCCCTCAGTCAGTTACTGAATTCCGGTGAATTGCTAGCCAAAGGTGTGCAAGCTGAAATGTCGTGGTCTCGGAAGAGCAGTGCCTCGGCACCCGCAGCCAGTAGCAGCGGGTGGACCTCCGGAGGCCAAAGACCTCCCGAAGGCAAGCTTGCACTCCGGAAGATACTAGAATACTAGAAGAAGCATGGATTCAGAGATGCTCCGACCGCGAGCCTTTGTCTCACTTTTTGCTGGTGAACAGACTGGCCTGGTGGCCCTAGCTCTTTGAGTCTCGACGGCCGTCGCGGATCACACGCCGCTGCAGCCTGGCGGTGAGACCTGAATCCTCGGGGATAGTCCAACTTCCGGAGAACAAGCCCTCTGCTTCCAAGACCTTCAGCAGCAGAGGCAAGCGCTCCGCATCCAGCAACTCTTCGGCAGATCTCCTGCGTCGCCGAAGCTCCTGGTTGCAGGTCTCCAGGAGCTCGCGGCGGGCCACGCCGTTGCTCTCCGCTTGCTGAGCAAGCAAGGACCAAGCCAAGGGATGCTCTTCGCTGAGCCTTTCCAGTCCGGCCAGCTGCTGCACCAAAGTCGCCGTCTCGGACTTCGAGAGCTCGCCGGAGCCTGTGACCATGTCCAAGAGTGCCCTCAGCAACATGCACTGCTGCTCGGCGACTTGGCGCTTCTTCTGCTCTGCCTCCGCATCCTCCACCTCAGCACGGCGCCGCTCCGTCTCGACCGCCGCTTGCAAGCCGGCCATCTCCTCGCTGGCCTTCACGGCCGCACTCTCGCGAGGCAAGCTTGCGAGAAGCTGGGAGTGAGTGAAGCCGAGCGAGGCTGTCTCCTGCGCAAGTGAAGTCATGGCATCAAGCCGGCTTCCAATTAAGCCCTAAACACTAAGCAAGAGAGAGAGAGAGAAAGGCAGTTCAAAGACGACGAGTCCTTGTCGCTGCGCTTGGTACCCTTGCGGCCTTTGCCGTCCTTGCCATTGCCATGATTGCCATCCTTCCCATTGCCCTTGCGAGGCTCCAGGCTCTCCAGCTCGTTGACCACGTTGTCCGCAAGCTTGGTCCAGTTCGCCTCCTCAGCCTTTGCTTGGCTCAGTCGAGCATCAAGACTGTGGCATTCTCGCTCCAAATCCTCAATGGCTTCGTGCTCTGCAGCGAGCAGAGCCTCTGCCTCGGCTACCTGCGCCGCTGCGGAGTCGCGGTCCTCCGTGGAGTCCAGGACTTCCTTGTTCCAGGCTGCTTGCGCCTCTAACAACTCGCGGAGCTCGGCTCTCAGCTCATCCTCGGAGACCTTTGCCTCCTTTGACTCCTTTGCCTTCGCCTTCTGGGACATCAGACGTCACCATGTCTGCATGCCATCCACGTTGTCAATGGCAACAACTGCTCTGCTCTCATTCGAGTCTTCTACGGCCATAGGATGTTTCTTGCGAATGAAACTTGTGGCTGCATCGTGCATCTACGCTGCAGCTTCACTACATGTTTCAGCTGGCTTGACTGTTCCGTTCTAGGCCATGCGCAGCGGTGCTGCAAAGAATGGCGCTTCTTAGGCCCTGTCTCACGTGCATAAGCTGGATATCGCGCTGAGAGCCACTGCTTCACACACAGTAGTGGTACGGCCACGGCATCCCAACAGCACAGCATCCTGCTGCAGCGTGCCATGTCAACATACCAACAGCGCAAGCGCGGCTCTTGAAGACCCTGTCTGTCGACCCGTCTGAACTTTTGATGAACCTTGCCTTTGGCATCCCTCGCAGGGTCCTCAACGTCTTTTTGAGGCCCCGACCAGGATATTCTTCAGTGCCGTAGGTTCGATCCAGGAGGATGATGCCATCAAAGTTGGTCTCGGCGATAAGGACGCCCACACCTCAAAGTGCCAAATTTAAACGTAGCCCCTTGCAACAAAACAACAATAAACTGTGCTCATGCTAGCGGCTGCCTCCTTTCACGGCATGCAGCCCTAGCACAGAGACATTCAGTCACTGCTATGCACCACCATGCTACGTAGCTTGTATCAGCTGCTGCTGCTGCTGTTGCTGCAAGGACACATGGACCGAAGTCGTCGCAGACCTTGCCACAGGCATTTGGGCCGACCAGCCTAATTAATGTCCGCAGCTTGGTCGCCTCTGATACAGTATGGCAATACACTCACTAAACTCTTTCCGAGGCTATGAGGCGACCCAATCGACATGGCCTGCTGCATGATGGCAAGGACGGATTCCACAGTTTTGGTTGCTCGATCACCAATGTCTCTGTACCAGACGGTCTTGTAGAACTCGTTGTTCCTGCAGTGCCCCGTGGCTCCAAAAGCGGTGCTTTAAAGCCACTGCAGAAGACGGGTCGGTCCTATCGATCAAAGCACCGTTGCCAGATGGCAAGTACCTCGGAGCCAAGATTAGCAAGCTTCGCAAGCGTCTTCTAAGAATCGCGTTGTCCAACACTTCCCGAGGCAGGACCAACGACCGATCTACACGTCGCAAGAAACGCAGAAGGGAGCCAGGATGCTTGTAGGCCGTAGGACTATCCACGGTCAGCAAGTTGGCATAACATTCGGTTTGCGACAATACCTCAGCAGCATCTCGGGCTGTGCAGGTACGCTGGTTTGCGTGCATCCATCCACATCCTGCTAAAACGCTACCTGAGATTCAGCCAATGCATACCCGCCCGTGTCCCCCACAGGTATGCCAAGACACTGCATTCGCATAACAGAGGCATTTCCCCGTGTGTTCATGCCTGTGGCCAGACGATGCAATGCAACGACAACGAAGAGCTTGGCTGTGCTTCCGTGTTGCCACTGTCAATGAAGGATGTGTCATGTGTCTGGCAAGCAGGAGCTGAAAGACACCCGCCGATAATCAAAAACGCGAGCGAGGTTTATTGACGTGTGGCCGGTAGCACTTGGAACCGTTGATGTGTGATGCTGTGTTGCTACCTGCACAAAGCATCACCTCGGCTGGTGGTTGATATCTCGACTTCCTGGGAGGATGTAGTCCGTTTCTGAGAGGGTTTAGCGTGAGGAGTTGGAGTTGCATGGGGGCACCGAGAGTTTTTGAGTGAGCGATGAGAAATATGTGGGAGGGTACAGAGCTGAGCAGCTTCCCTGGCTCAAGAACCCCCCCGGAAGCACCGTCGAGCTCACAGTCGAAGCCAAGGGTTCCAGCCTGATGAGGTACTGGTTGTACGGTCGACCGTTCCCAGCGGTCTTTGACAACTGCATCTTCCAGCTGCAGTCTCCATACAGGCATTCCTCAGAATTCAGATTATCCGATGTTGTTCCTCGCAACGAAAGCTGGCCTTACAGTTTACCGTACACACGGCTGATGCTGAACACTTTGCTCAAGCGCTCTAAGCGTCGTTGTTGTATCCATTTCGCAAGCCTCCATCGGCATAGGTATTCACCCATCCGATACCCGCAGCACGCTCGTCCGAGAGGAAGTTCACCCTCAAGTACGGTACAAGCAACTGCCGCAATTTGCAGTGTGTTAATGCGGCGGTTGCCTCGTGTCGTTGGATCGTCCATAGTACGCGCGATACTGCAGGATGTTGCTTTCGTCCTCTGCACCTTCAATCGTAACCTGCCATGGGCAAATCAATGGTGTGCCGCCCTGGCATTTCGGGTAGCCGAAGTGAAAGCTTGATGATGTGGAATAGACTGCTCTTGTCTGCTCTGACCCAAGCATGTAACACTCCTCAACTCTGGGCCTCACCCAGCAGGTAGCCACGACGAACATCGGAGTCGCTGAAGACGACGGAACTTGGCGTGTATGTCGGCTTACCTGGGTCGACAAGGTAAAGTGCAGCCGCCTCACGATCGAGGCGAGTGAGGGACCTGACATCAAGAACTGTGAGACCCGACCTGGAATCTGCAAGTCCATCAGCAGAAGCACATCACCTGCCAGTCGCGGCAAGAGCATGGTGTCGGTCTCTAGCTGCTTCTTTGCCATCGTTCAGTCCAAGGGGCCTTGCTAGGACTGCTGGGCAGAAACGAACCCAGCCCCGACTCCCTGAAGGCCCACCATGGCCCACCTACTCCCTTCCAAGCTAAAGTGAAAGCATCTCCGGCCTTGACTTGTGGTCAGATGCAAGGCCAAGACATAGAGCCCCCCGGCGGTCATGTTGCAGCCCGTGGCTTGCCACATGTAGCTGGAGCCCACCTTCCCAGTTGCGGGCTGAGGTCTGAGGAACTGGGGTTGGAACCACCGGGCATCCCCGAATCCTCAATCGAGGGCATCCCATCGAAGCATGAAGCCGCCGGAGCCTGGTGATGGTCCATGATACGGCAGCCCGGATCCAGGATCTGGCACACTCAGGAACACTTCAGACAAGCATCATTGACGGAGGGCTCCGCAACCTAAGCCCTCTAAAACAGCAGACAAGGATCCCAAGATGACCGCTGCTGTCAGAATCCCTTGTAGTTCGTGCGGCTGCTTGGTTGGTAAAGGAGCCAGGTGGAATGCACAGTGAGCTTGCTTGCCTGAGTCCACACGCTTGTCAAAGGCGTTATCACGCCTTAGTTGCACAGTCCGTGGATGTAATTTCTTGGACATTACAACAGCAGGCGGACCTCTGGTTTTTCACAGACGATCAAGCTTGATCAACGCCCAAATTATGCTCAAAGTGTTTTCGCTGTGGCAACCCCTCTCTTGCATGCACATGGAAGCGAGGATACTCAGGGACCTGGCCCGAAAAGCTCAAATACCAGACGAGTGAAGATCCCACTTGCACCCTCCATTTCCCAGCCAGCTTGCGGCTTTTCGCCATGCCGGGGGCGATAACAGCCTGCATCGGGGTGAGAGGATCTGCAAAGATCCCCGCAGCTCTCTCTTAAGATTTATTCCTTTTGTCTCCCGGAGTTTAGAAAGTGACCTTCGAGTCTACCCTTGGGCCCTTTGGGTTTCAGAACGTTAACTTCCTGGCAAATTCTAGCGATCATGGGTAACAGCACATGGCTCTCAGCACGCCAGCCTCCAAGGTGCACCAGTCGCCCGAAGGATCGGACTCTTGTGTTACTGCCTTGGTTCCGCGATGTTTCTGGAGGCCACCTCCACCCCGCTTTGCTAATTCTTGAGGCATTGAGGATCGCAGTTGTAGTCCACAGCTCAGTCTATGATGCATTCAAGGCACACAGCTGGTGAAGTTAAGGCTCAAGGTAAATCCATTTGTGCCCGGCCTGAGCGGACAAAGTTTTTGCGATGTGGTGTTGGAGCTGAGTCGAAAGCCAGTCGGCTCAGCACAATAAGTAAGAACAAGAACTACAGCCACTGACTCGTCTGCTCCCGCCACTCTGAGCCCTAGTGCTGCTGATATGATACTATCTAACTATTAGCTGTCAGTATCACCGTTCCTCCTCGTTCTCCCGCCACTTTCTCTCTCCAAATGCTTTACGATTTCGCCGCACGACTACTGGCTTTTCCTACCACTGCCACTGCCACTACCACAACCACAAACACAACCACAACAACTACAACTACAACTACAACTACAACTGCAACAACAGCAACAACAACTACTACTACTACTACTACTACTACTACTAGCACTACTACTACTACTACTACTACTACTACTACTACTACTACTACTAGCTCTTACCTCGCATCTTACAACGGTGAACACAGGCAGCACATGTGTATTGGCAATACTGACATCATCTCCACAACAAACCATTTTGCTACTGCCCAACCATTCCCAAGAATTGGGAATAACCGCCATAGAGCAGCACTGCGACTTTCTATGCGAACAAACCCGAATGAGACTACATATTCAGGAGTTGCCATCGACAGTACGACGAAGGCCTGTCGGATAACAATGGGCCGCAGTACATTCAACAAACCCTCACCAAGATTAGAACGAGGAACACACGGTAGCAGCGGAAAGCACATCGTGCCCTCCAAACAAACACGAAAAAGGCAGGTCAACAGGCCCCGCGGGCCTGAGCAGCACTAGTAGCGCCCTGCACGATCAGAACGACAAACAACAAGTACGACGGCAATGATGCTATCTGAGACCTATGTAACCTTTGGGCGGAAATCGTGCGTATTTGTTTTTCTTGCACCAAGGGGGTTTCGGGTTGCGGGTGCGGTCCGCGGGGGGGTTCCGGGCAACTAGAGATGAGAAAAGCGGTGTTATGACTTTTGGATGATGGTGATGCTGATGACGCTGGTAATTAATGAGAATGGTGATGATGGTGATGGTGATCGTGGTGATGATGATGATGATGAAGAAGATGATCATGATGATGGTGAGTGTGATGGTGATGGTGATGGTGATGGTGATGGTGATGGTGAAGATGATTATGATGATGATGAGTGTGATGGTGATGGTGATGGTGATGGTGATGATGATGATGATGATGATGAAGATGATTATGATGATGGTGAGTGTGATGGTGAGTGTGATGGTGATGATGATGATGATGATGATGATAGTTATGAGCTCTGCTCTTGGCGGATGACACTCCCAAGAGCAGCGGGTCCGAGGCAAAGCCGCCAAGGCCGCTAAGCCTGGCACATGCTCCCGGAGACTGAGACACTCTGGAGCACAAGTTTCGTGTGTCTGCTCCTGACTTGATGCAGTGGTCCTTCACAAAAGGCGCATGCACAGAAAGTGCGTGTCAATTGAGCCTTCTGCTTCCCTCTGTACTTCCTGCGACATCACCGCGCGCTTGGAAGGGAAGCTGGCCTCGCATCCACTCGCACAAGTTGCAGAAATCGACTTGAGACAACGCGGAGTATGCTTGCGGGTCGAGGCATACACTGGCCTCTAGCCTATGCTTGCACAAGAAAAGGACTAAGCCACACCCGCTCATCTGTGACAAGTGTTTGACTCTGGTAAGCGACGGACCATTGACACGCTGCTCACATGGCCTGCCAGAAACCTCATGAGGCATTCAGTTGGGCTGGGGGATCGGGCTCACAAGGGAAGGTCTGAATTTATCATCGCGATCCACGAGCAGTAGCTCGTATGCCTTCGAACAACGAGCGATTGGCTGCACTCGCTTCACCAGTGTGCCGAACCTGCAGACCCTGACGTGCTCCCAGCTGACCTTTCACATGATCTTGTCCATAAAGGCTTCTGCAGCCGAGGGACACCCCCGCCACACGCACAACAGGCCGAGGTAGCATCGACACCTGCCAGGATAAGGCTGGAACAATCGTGACTTCATCGCTTTAGATGTGCACCTGCCGCAGGGTACAAGTAATGATGACACTGGACAATACTGCAGTAAATAGACATTCGGGCACAGCTGACCCGGAAAAGAATCCCAGCACTGCGCTGGGAAGTCGGTATGCTTGGCATCTCTGGAGCCCTTCAGCTGAGCCGAGCCCAGGCCGAGCCTGAAGAATCTGCCAGATCCCCGATCGTCATCCCGGCGAAGCCGTCCACGAGCCGCACGTCCCAGCTTCCCACAGCTCCCCTGAAGCGCAGCATCAGCTACTTTGAAGCTGCGCGGCGCTCAACTTGAGCTTCAACCCACCAAAGGATTTATAGCACATCGAAAAGAACTGAACGAATGTGCTGCCGAGCAACCAGCCAGTGCTGATGTGCACCTCCATGTTCCAAAAAGCAGCTACTAGCACAACGACAACACCATCTTCCCTTGCTCCTGCTCCGTCCCAAAGTTAATGCTTCGTTGCTGCTTCGCTGGCCGTTTCCACACTAGAGACCCCAGCCAAGACTCTAGCTAGGCTCTTTCCTGGCTTCAGCCTCAAGGCCACAGACCACCGCTCTCCTGCCCACCAGACCGGACCCCACCCGGTGCTCTGTCTAAGCTCGTTGCAGGGGTTCGGAGTGGTTTCCGGTAAGAAGTCGTGAAATCTCGCATGGCAAGAGCGACAGCTGCCTGGCGTCTGCTCCAGGTGCAACAACCCAGACCGTGCAGATGCTGTTCTGCTTTGGTCATAATGTCAGGCTGCCACGAAAGTTACCATGCAGCAAAGGTTGGCAAAGCGCACTGGCGGGTGCGGCACACACTGCACAGAGTTGTGATTGTGATGCGTGTCCAAGCCTCATTGAGAAGGCTAGCCTGGGAGACGCTGTCGTACCTGACATTGCTGACAGCACAGCCACTGCCAACACTTGGCTTTCTGCATACCAAGGCTGTGCCGAGGAGAGCCAGACCCACCGTGGCAGGAATCGCCCGTCGACTGTGGACCAAAATATTGCGTAGACTGCAAACTACCGTAACATACAGTAACTATACTCAGATGGGGGTTTCCGAAAATAGGGGACCCTAATATAGTAGGCTAAATAGTAGGATCCATATTATAAGGACTCCAAAATACGGGACCCTAATTTCGGAAACTCCCAGATACTATAAGCTAAGCAGGCCGAGGTTGCCAATTTCGCATGCTGACCAGGTTGGTGGTCAGGTAGGAGCCGTGGAGGAAGCCCATCTCCCAGAAGACCTCCGACCAAAACGGTGCAGGACAAGCGAAGAGAAAAGTATCAACTGGGAAGTGCGTTGAACATAGATCTGCAATGAGTCCGTTTCTGTGCTTATATATATATATACATACATACATACATACATACATACATACATACATACATGCATATACACATCACATGCATACACACAGACAAACAGACATAAACACACACACACGCACGCGCGCACAGAGACATGAAACAACATGCATGTGTTCTCCATTTGCTTTCGTGTTGTGATGATGCTATGGTTGCTCTTCTTGCGGTTTGTCAATCGTTTTTTGCTGGCTATGTTTTAAGTCTAAAGGATCTGAAACGCTAAAGACTGTGCCCTGAAACCATTTGACCCTGACTTGACAAGCTCCCGTTGAAGTCGGGCCTCCCCCCGTCCAACACTGAGATTGCCATCCCAGGCATAGTAGACCTTCGAATTCAAAGACCAGGCACAATGCCATGTACATGTCCGAAACATCCTAGAGTCTAGCGGGCCGGGTGCAGCTCATTTGACTATTCGTCATCGGTTTCAGAGCGGATCAGGGGTCAGAGTCAGAACAAGATGAGGATGCATGGCTGACCAGGTGCCCAGAATGTTTGCATCTCCGACGGGTCCAGCAGTGCACCGTAGTAGTTGCCCAGAGTTTGAAGAGTTGGCTGCGTTCGCAGCACCTGATGGCAAACTGCTTTAATAAGTCTCGAAATAGGCGGCAAAGAAAAAGTCTGGTGACAAAGAACAGCTTGCGACGGCCAGGCACTGATTGACCGTTGTTCCAACCGCCCACTACAATCTCAAAGCCGTACCTGAGCTTCAGCGCACCGCACAGAGAGGTCATTAGAAGGAGCAGACCGAGCAAGGGAGGGAGGGAGGGAGGGAGGGAGGGAGGGAGGGAGGGAGGGAGGCAGGGAGGCAGGGAGGCAGGGAGGCAGGGAGGGAGGGAGGGAGGGAGGGAGGGAGGGAGGGAGGG